GGGGTGGGGTAAGGGGGGTGGGGGGATGGATGAAAAGGTCTTGTTTTTGAAATTCCTTTTGATTTTATTATTCTGACCACACTTGGTCAAAACCTCATATAAGAAGTCCACAAATAAGGTGATCTTACTATATTATGGATGAATTAGAGTTTAGGGAATGCTTAGGTAGCTTACTAATAAGGGTTCTTCAGAAAAAAAAATCTTTTTCCTTCCCTTCTTCCCTCCCTTCCTCCCTCCTTCCCTTCCTTCCTTCCACCTACCCATCCATCCACCCTACTTTCAAACTATCCATCTGGAGGGATTTATTGCAAGAGTTTGATTCCTCTGATTATGGGGGTTGAAAAACTCCATAATGTAACCTGTACAAGCTAGAAACCCAGTGAGTGGTTTTCAGTACAGGTTTGAACGACTGAGAAGAAGAAAGACAATGGCAAAAATCTCAGTCTACATCGTAAGGCATGAGAATCAGAGGATGGATGACTTTAATCCTGGTGTTTGTTCTAAGAGCCAAAGAACCAGGAGGACAAATGGCCCAACTCAAGCACAGACAGCAAGTCCATCTTTCCTCTGCATCTTTTTCTCTTTGAATCTGAATGGACTGTGGTATTGACTAACTGTGCTGAGGGAAATCTTTAGTCAGTCCTTCAACTTAAAGGCTAGCCTCCTGGGATGCATCTTCACAGATACACCTAAAAATAATGGTTTACCAGCCATCTTGGCATCCCTTAGGCCAGTTAGAACACCTACAGAAACAAATGACTGTTATTAATCAGACATTCTTTAAAACAGTATCTCCCTTAGTGAGTTTTCTGATTTGATATTGTAAACAGGAGTTGCAAGTTTTGCAAACAAAGTTTTTTTGTTTTGTCAACTAAATCCTGAGTTAACTGATAATTTAAATGGACTATAACCAACCGATAGACCAAAAAGACAACGTAGAAAATTAGTCATTGTAACATCCACTTCTGTTAACAAATAAGTATTATAATTTCCAGTTTGCCTGAAATCATGTTGTCTATCCACCCATAACTCTAGGTTTCTAGGAAAGGAGAAGAAAGAGAAAAAAATGTAAAGAAATCTAGAAATATGAGAAAGAGATGGAAGACCAAAGAACTGGAGCTAAGAACCCAAAATGAAAACAGGATTTATTAAGACTTATTTACTAAGGGAAAAATTAGATGTTTCATTTGCTCCTTTTTTTTTTGTTCCTTAGATCTTGACATTTTGCAAAAGGATGAGAGAATTAAAAAAATAAAAGCATGCATGTAGTGAAACTCTGAAAGTAGAAATAATTACACCCCTCTGCTCCCCCACAAAAGTTCTCTGTCCCCTTCTGCCCCCTTTTACACCAGCTTTCTTCTTAGATAGAATCGTGTTTACATGATGTCACCCAAGATACTATTTCCTGTGCTCTGTAAACCTGTTATGCAATGAGGAGAATATATTCTTGTGAAATTGATGCTAACAAGAAATGAAACAAACCAAAGAAAACAACCAAGATGAGCCAAAGGAAAATTTTCTACTCTATTCTTTGCCAAACATTTTTCTCCTAGGAACAATTTATGTAACATTATAATGTATAGGATAGTGCATATGAGATATTTGGCAACCTCTGAAATAACACCATCAGCTCTACGAGCAATAGTACACATAAAACTTGGAGACTAAAAACATTAAAGAGACCAGGATTTAGTAAAATGGGGCAATTTTCAGCCATTGCAGATTCTATAGATGAGACTTTAAATTACTGTGCATTGTAACAGATTTGAGAACTACTAGCAGTGTTGATTAGGATTGAAAAGTGGTAGGATTCTTTCCCTTCATCTCTCTCTAGCTCATAAATTCACCTTGTTACTAAAGGTGTTAAGACTGACCTAAAACATGCCATAAACATTCAAGACTGGGTAACAGACACAAGCAAAAGGTATATTTGTTTAAAAGATCTAACTCATATAAGGAATAGCTACTGTTAATATATTTATAATAGTATCTTTTCCACTAAAAATATAACATTTTTTAAAATTAGATTTGAAGAAATGCTCAAGGTTTTAAGTTACTGGGAAAGGCAACTTCTTTTTCTGAATATTTAGGCTTAATTCTAAATTGAGAATATTGTCTTTAGATATTTTTTCATGGTAAGAAAATTGCCTTTCAGAGAAGTAACATTCTTCCAGGTGACTTTTGCCTTTTGCATCTCTGTTAACTATTTGATCCAAAAAAAAAACCCAAAAACAAAAACCATCGCACCATTATTCAAAAACAAATTACATGAGTAGTCATTAGAGTCCGAAATTTTTTGATACCTATTGTTGAGCACATTTGTTTAACTCATTCATTTCACATTGATTTTGCATCGCTGTCAGGGATCATTATGTGAGACATAAAGAGGAAAAATAAAATATAATTGTGCAGAAGCACTTTCACTGTAGGGGAAAGAAAAGATATGCAGACAATGCAAATTGCAAATTACTATCAAAAGGTTTATACATCCGCAACGTATGATTCTCCAAGTTCTCTTTATTGATCAGGAAGGAAAAATAAGCTTACCTAAAGGAGGGGATTGTGGGATTCATATATAGCTAGCCAATCAGTGGCGCACTAGTGGGTATCTGAATTGAGGGATCTCAAACCTCAACTGTGGGATCTGATGCTATTTCTAGGTAAACAGCATCATAATCAAATTGTATCTGGAAAATAGGCCAGATAATGTTTTATCTATGTAAAAACCTCCACATAGACTGGTCACCAAGGATACGACTTATATGATAGGGGAAAAAAAATCACCTTGGTTTGTTTGCCTTATCCTCATAATTATATTCAGCACAGTTAGAGTATGGTTTACTTATAAGTAACTTTATGAATTAGGGGTGTTTCTAAATTAGATTTTCCTCCACAGTCAAACTAAAAATATTGATGATACCCATTAAGTAATCATTTTAACCGTTAAAAAAATCAAGAGCAATTGGCAAAGTCAAACAAGTGATGCAAAGCCGTTTCCCAACAGAGGGCAGGTGTTTCTGTGATGTAGATAAGGAAAGAGGACTTACCCCTGTCTGTGTCGTACAGGAAGACGAAACAGTTCCATTCGTAATGGTCCAGCAGACTCAGGAGGGCCCCTCGTAAGGAAGGCCTCAGCTGCAGCACGAACTGGCTCTCCCCCTCGGTGGGAAAACTCGGTGTGATGAGGGAGATGTGTAAGGCGCTGCAGAACGAGGTCAGGGTATGCACTGACCTCTTATCATAGAGTCCAAAGATTGCAAAGACTCCTCTGGAATACTGGGAACAAACTGAAAGAGAGAAAAGCAAGCATTAACTATCGGCACATTCAGGAATTAATATTCATTAATTACATGATAGCTAGGGATTACACCCAAAGTGTTGTACATGCTGGACAAATACTCTATCTGAAAGTTATATCTTTATCCCTCTAAGTTAATAAAAAAAAAAAGTTAATACACCTATCTCCCATACTGGGAATGGAATTCAGAGCCTTCTAGGTAAGCCCTCTACCACTCAGATCTCATTTACATTGTCTATGAATATGTATTAACCTGTGAGGACATGTAAGACAATTATAAACAGATGTCAACAGATGTTTGAATACATTACTATCATTTAAATGATTCTATTGCTAATTAAGAGGGTAAACTTATTGGAGGACAAAGTACTATAGTTGAGGTGCTCAGATACTGATTTGAACAAATACCGTTATTTTTGATAGATATTGTAGTAGAGTTTATAAAGAACTCTATTGTGAGAGCACAACATGGAAGTCTAATTCTTTGCTTCCCCAGGAAGTAGAAAGTTTGTGAATTGAATGACCACTCTGAAACTGTGGTCTGACAGTGTGACTGACAGAAGTTTTCTGGCAAGATGTAAGTAACATTTTAATTTACCCTTTGGGCACCTTTAGTTGTTATGTAATTCAACTCCTATAACTTAAATGGATCAGTAAATCATGCTGTGAGATCTGATGTTAACTTCTTAAATATGCTACCAAGGCTTTGGATGTGTTTATATAAGTATGCTTCAGTTAGGCTTAAATCCGGAGTTACTCAGCAATCTCTTATTTTTCATATTTTCGTGTTCTCTTAATTTTCATGTAATTTGTGGACTATTATTAACCTTTATTTGGTAATCTGATTCAGTTAGTATTTTTTCAGGTTCTTGCATACGCTAAGCAGCAGCTGTCCTCTCAATGAGTTCTACCCACCAGCACTTTATTCAAATAATTTTCATTTTGTACTACTGAAAAAATAAAGTCCAAGAACTTTAGAATTCAAAGTCACACTTTCAGTGTGGTGCTGAAAGTACACACAAACTTTAGCTCTTGTTCAGAAAAAGGTATGCAGTGTACAATTTTCGTATGCTCGTTTCCAAACAGTATTTTTCCACCCTAGGAACTTCAGGAGATCTCCAGAAGGGTTTGAGTAGCTTTCGTTGGGTCCCATTAGAGATGGCTTTGGGTGGTCAGTGCTGGGGCTTTCTCCTATCTTCCTCCTTCTCAACAACAACAATACTATCCTTTATCTGTTTGTGAATGCCATACACAAAATGTTCTGACAGAAAAATCTCAGCTATGAAACAAAGTTCACAACCAGTTAATATGCTGTGCAAAGACCCCCCTGCCGTTCATAGTTGATCTTCAATATAAACATGCTGACTTCCCATTGTTCTGGTCCTCACTGCACTATTGGCCTTATTCCAGTTTTTTCTAGAGAACCTCAACAGATTTAAATTCTCTGCTATTTCATCATCTTTTATCTTCGTTCATTTGCATCATTATAAATAATCTAATTTTTGCTTTTTTCATAGATACCTGCCATTCTACTCTTATTTCTTTGTAATTATTTGGAAACTATGTAAGTCTCAGACCAAATAACATTGCCTTAGGAAGTATCCTGTTACATTTTATTTTTCTCTTCCAAAATTCCAGTTGTAATATTCTCCTTTGAAGCATTTTATTCCCTGCTTAGTGTTTTTTTCAGTCTTGATAGGTAAGGGCTATTGGGAGTTCTGAATATGAAAATAGGTTGTCAGTCAAATGTTTGATGCTAGCAACTTCCTGTAATATCTTGAACAATTTTTTATTTGGTCCAATAAACCCAAACTTTATTGTAGAATTATTTACATGTTTATTATTATAATGTAGTATTGGAAGCATGCAAATAAAAATTTTGCTTTTCTATCTTTTATACCATCTATTATTGCTTAGCATACAATTATTCAAACAATGGATTTTATTAAACTGTATCAGTGCACACATAAATTAAGAGAGCAAACTCAGCTGAGTATAAATGTGTTCAGTATATATAAAAGAAAACAAACTGAATTTCAATGTTCTCATCTAAAATTATGAAATAAGAATTAAGGTACTGAGTAGGTATGATGATATTAGCTTGACAAATACTTTGGGATACAGACACTAAAATCAGGAAAAGGCTTTCAGTGAAATAATCCACTCATAGCTTTCAGTACATATTCTATGTTCTGCCTAACTAGTATTGTTTGATTGTGTATTACATAAATAAGTACATAATATATAGTAATAGTCCATTCATCTTTAAACTGATAATATCCATTCATTGTATATCTTCTCATACAATAATCACTGAGACTCATTCAAGCTGCCACATTGGAGATGTTAAATTTAGTGAAATTATGGTATAATTTGTGATTTGAAGTATTGTGTCACACACAAATCATATGAGGTGTTTCTCAAGTTGTGGGTGATAATCCCAGAGATGGCTTGAACTTGATCGCTGCAGTGTGGTCAGAAAGAACTCAGTCTATTCTTCTTCTTAGTCCCCTTCTCCTTTACCTTCAACGCTACTTTTTTCTTTTTCTTTTTTCTTTAATTGTGAAAATACTGTAGAGAGGGGTTACAAATACATGGGCAAGATAATGATTACATTTCTTATCAAGCATTGCAGCCTCCTCCTTTGTTTCCCCTTCCCATCCTCCCCCCTCCCCGCCCCCCAATTCTCCCCGTCGCCCCCCCCCGCCCCCGCACTAAAAGCTGTAAAGTTCGTTTTCGACATAACTTGTACGTCTCATTGTTGCAATGGGTCCACCTGTATCCCTAGTTAAACGATTTGTTTTTCCCCTTCCCCTCTCCAAATTATACCGACATCAAATACAGTGAAAGCAGGGGTTATACCATGGGGGAGGGACATACAAAGCAACAAAGAAATCATCTTATAAATGTGTTAGAAACAATCGCATGAAAAAAAAATTTGAATACGTATCTTAGGGTTCATTTTCCTAACATCACTTATCTGACCTTTTCTGCTTGACTCAGACATATACTAGATATTGCAAATAAGGGAAACCAGGGGACCTATGTTTCTTTGGGCCTGGCTTACTTCACTTAATATAAATTTTTCCAAGCCTTTCCATTTCCTAACAAATGGGGCAATGTCATACTTTCTGATGGAGGCATAGAATTCCATTGTGTATATATACCACATTTTCTTGATCCATTCATCTACTGAGGGGCATCTGGGTTGGTTCCATATCTTAGCTATGGTAAATAATGTTGCAATAAACATAGTTGTGCTGGTAGCTTTAGTATGGTCTTGTTTGTAAACATTTGGGTAAATGCCCAAAAGTGGGATTGCTGGGTCATAGGGCAGCTCTTCTTTTGAGGAACCTCCATACTGCTTTCCAAAGTGGTTGAACAAGTTTACACTCCCACCAACAATGAAGTAAGGTTCCCTTCTGTCCACATCCCCTCCAACATCTGTTGTTATTAGAGTTCTTGATTTTAGCCTTTCTAACTGGAACGCTACTTCTCTTAAATGATTCCTCTCACTTCCTTTCATCTCAATGCCTTTATTTTGTAAAGCCAAGGACTCGCATGCTTCCTACGACTCCACTACTTTTTCATAGTCTCTTTTATTGAAGAAATTTTTCTTCACATTTTTTTTCAACTCCTATACTTCCTTCCTCGACACCTAAGCCACTCTTGCCAACTTGGTTCCAGTTATATCCTCAACCTCAGGTTTTCACTTCTGTCTTGCTGGAATCCTCTATGGTGTCTGTCACCTTTGCTTCCTTGCCTTGTGTTCTGCACACCTGAAGAATGGTCTTCCTCTGATCTCTGGAAATATCTGAAGTCTGCTTCATTGTAGTTTGTGTGCATTAAAATTCTCTTTTCTCTACTTACTCCTTTCCTCTAAATATGTTCATAAGTGCACTCATCTGGTTCTATGACTTTTGCTATCTATGTACTCATGATATCCTAAGTAACATTTCAAAACTATCCCTTGAACTACGTGTGTAATATCTATACCACTTACGTGCCACAGGGCACTTTCCAAAGCTATTGCTACAATCCTTCCTCACACAATATTTCAGAACTTCACCACAGAAAGAAATAACAAGTATTTTCTTCATACAGATGTTCCTGTTTTACAAAGGACTTTTAGGTGTATTACTACATGCCATCAACACTATGATTCAGATTTTATAAGAAAGAGAAAATTTTTATTAATTACTCCAAGAAAAGATAGGTTATCAAATTTTATCTACCATTTCAAGCTATACCTTTTGAAACTGCTATTTTCTTTCTGTTTTAGTCCACTAGCTTCGACTGCAAGAAAAATTTTGAAAATGTGTTTCTGCTATTAAAAAAGCTTAATTATTTCCTTTTTAAAATTCACTGTATCCATAGCAACAGACACATAATGGAGCCTGCAGGTGGAAAATATTTCTTGATGGTGGAATCAATAAACCCAGAGGGCTGAGTTGACTCAGAATTAACCGTGAAACATATAACATGAGATCACTTGAGAAATACAAAAAGAGCAGAAAAGACAAGAGAAACCCTTTTAACTGTTTCATAGTCTCCCATTTGTATATTGTTCATAGGGTAGCTTTATCTAAGAATTACCATTTTCTGGCCTAAGATAATGGTAGTTATAATTTTTAATGGTACATAGGCAGAAGGTTCAGGAGAAGAGGAGATTGCTTTAGTTTTGGGGGTAAGGTGAGCACTTCTCAATGAGTTCCTACTCCCACTACACCACTGCTGATGTTCATTTAATTATGGAGCCTTGGAATTATTTAAACCTGGATAAGTGAAATATGACCTTTCAATGTGAATACAGTGGTTACTTGGTTTATGGAATATTATAGAAAGTCAATAAAAGTTATATTTGTAATTTTCCTTCTTCTATAGGGAAGAAATATATTGAAAAATATATTAGAATATATTGAAGGAATATATTGAAAAAAATCTACGGATCTGACATTAGCACACATTCATTTATTAACAAATGCTTAT